GCTCTGTCCCAAACAGAGCAGGAGCAGCCACTCTACAAGTGATGCCCAGAGTGTCCCAACAAGGAAGGTGATGGGAAGCATCTGGTAGGTGGAGGGCCCACCAGCACCTCTTAGTGCCAGGTGGGAGGGTGAGAGGTTTTGGCTGCACTGTGAGGGTAAGGAAGGCTGCTAGAGGGATCAGCTAAACTGTGGTGAGTAATATGGATTGTTTGCTTTCCATCACTGTGCCAGAAGTTGTTTGGGAAGGTGGAGGTCTCTTCTCTGGGTGTGGGTTGAAGAGATGGGTTTATTCAACTGTGTTGTCTTTTCCAGGCTATTAGGAATAGTGGATTATGCCTTTGTTCGTTCTCTGCTGATTGTTATTAAATGCATTTTTTCCTTTTGAAGAGAAGTTTAGTTTTGAGCCAGGTGGGTTGTTGTTTTTTCGGTTTTGTGAAATCTTTGGGCAGCTCAGGAGCTCTGGACTTGGCAGGAGGCAGTTCCTTGGCTATTTTTGTGGCCACCACAGCTTTGAATGAGCATCTGGACTTTATCAGGATGAAAGAGCTTTGTTTTAAAAACAAGTCTTGGCTTGCTGTGGTTGCATGCATAGGGAAGCTGGGAGGTGTCTCCCCCAAGAAAGCAAATTCCCTTTGGGCACTGAGCTTTCTTGACCCTGTCTCCAAGCCGAATGGCTCCCCATCAGTCAGACAGCATCTCTCCCAGTGCCCCAGCTAGCAAATTATTAAAATTGGAGGGGTAGCAAGCAGTCCTTGCAGGGTGACTGAGGCTGAGCAAGGAGGATAGGGCCAGCCACCGTGCTCAGGGTGATGCTGAGCTGTAGATGGGTGTAAGCACTTGCCTTTCCCTATGCCAACTATCATTTATGCTAAACATGCTGCCCAAGGAGACAAAAAATCAATTAGAACTGCAGGAGACCAGACCAACTGGTGGGGATTAGTGTGAGCCATTTAGGAAGCATCCAAACTCCAATGAGATGCATAATTGCAGTTTGGCTTTCCTGGGCCGGTTCTGCTCAAGGTTAATTACACAATGCTAACAGAGCAGGGCTGGCTGCTGCCAGGCTGGCAAAAAAGGGCTTCTTGTAAGGTGATGGGAATGACTTGCAATAGGGGAAACTAACTGATTCATCAGATGCTCCTTTGGTCTCTCTGTTTACACTACTGATGACAGCTGATGGGAGGCAGACCTTAAAGGTGCGTTGGTTTTCTGGCAAGCCTTGAGTAAGCAGGAAAGTGTCTTTAATCTAGTGAAAACTTTCTTCATCCACTTTCTGCTGAGAGGGAGAGAACAGGTCCAGCATTGCTCGTGCACTTAAGACCACTTATCTCCTCGTGCACCGAATTAAGAGAGCTTAAAGACCACCTCTGAGGAGTAAGAAGCACGTTTTCCCTTGTGGGAGAGACCCACCAACTTTACACCTCATAGGTACAGTGAGAGGGCAGGAACAGGTTTAGCTTTGGGTGGACTTGATGATTTTAGAGGTCTTTTCCAACCTAAATAATTCTATGAAGAGTAGGAAAATTGGGGTGCTGGCAAGCATGCACACCTTGGTCCTTAGGGGGAACACAACACATCCCTTGGGATGCTTACAGGCACTCCAGCACTGCTCTTTCTGCCTGCCTGTTTGATACCTTCCCTCCCATTGCTGGTGCTCAAAGTGACATTTTGTGAAGCCTGAAGTGTGGGCAAGGTGCCCAAAATGACAGCTTTCATGAGAGAAGGAAAATGTCACTGGGAGAGTGTGCTGCCAAGCCATGTGCCCACCACATGCAGGAAGGGGGAGTGAGCAGGTGGGCAGCACCTCCCTGGGGCAGCTGGGATCGACCTAGGACTGGGTTCTGCCAGAGATGGACTAAAGCCCAGGCCTGGATTGAATATCCCTGCATTTCTGATTCTGCATTTCTGAAATTTGCTCATACTTTAGAGAGCAAAAGATTTTTTGCATCGCTCATTGGGAACATGAAGCCTGGAGCCTCACTTCTCCCCACCACCTGCTTTCTTTGCAGGTTCCTTCTCTCCCCATGTTGCCTCAAACCCCTGATCTTCAACAGCACCTTTCTCCTCAGCTTGCTCCTGAGATCTCCATAGATATATATAAAATATATAGAGAGACAAAAAATACTTTTGTATATATTGCCTATTTCCCCTTGTGAGAGGAAACTTCTCTCACTTCCCCAAAATTTGCCTGTTCCCCCAGGAAGCACCAGTTGCTATGCTTCTTGCAGTCCCAGCAGGATCAGATTTGTCCAGCTCAGTAACAGTTCCTTAATATTCCCCACGCTAACCTAACAAACACGTTAATAAGTGCAGGTAGCTCTATATTTTACAACTCCTCGACCTCGCCCTGGGCTGCCCGTTTCAGACACAGCAGTGCTTTGTTCAGAGGAAATTCTGATTCATTCCCTGTTGGTGTTTTTATAGCACTGTGCATGTTCAAAGAGCCACGCAAGTGGCTTAAGAGGCTAACACAAACCTTGGGTTAATTCATAATACTGTTAGATACTCAGCACAATACCCGCATTAATCCAGCTGACTGCATCTCGCCACGTTGGGAAACACATGCTGAAATCAGCAGGGAGCACAGAAAACAAGCGTGGGAGTAGGATATTAAGTATTTTGCCAGCCTGCTAGGTAGAATCCAAGCACCTTAAATGTATTTAAAATATTTTCCCAGTGTTGTTGCCTCGCTCTGCAGCTGTGGAGCTGAAGCACTGAGAAGGCTGTGTCCAGCATCCCTGCAGGCCTGGCAGAGTGAGGTACAAGCAGTCACATCCATCAAGACTTACACCCTACCTGCAGCCACCTCTTTTTATTTTTTGGGTCTATTCAAACTGATCAAAGCAGAAAAAGCTGGGTTTTTTTTTCCTTTAATACCTGCTGATTTCATTGCAGAGCTGGACTGTGCGTGTCTGCCATGAGCCCCCCACGATGCTTTCTCTCTGGGGACATAGCCTGGAGCTATTATTACTCCTTTTGCTAACTCTCAGAAACTTTCCTATGCAAAGAAACCCTAAGAAAAGAGCCTCAAACCCCTGCTGTGTTCCTTTCATCTGGCTCAGGAACTCCCAGGTTTGTGCCTTTCCCTGCGGTGCCAGCAGCCAGCCATCCCACAACTGCTGCAGAACCTCCTCCTTTCCCAAAGGGCCCCAAATAGCCCATCTGTTCAAAAAAAAAAAGGGAATTTTTTTGTAGACATACAAGGCTTTTTGCAACCAAATACCCTTTAGACAGCATCCAATACTTCTATGTTTTCTGGCTGGCACATTACCTCCTCTAAACATGCTGAGGTGGATCAAAAATGGGCAAATATTCCCAGAACCCCCATGCATGTCTCAAACCCCAAGTTTCTGCATTGAAATATCAAGGAGTAAACTACTCTAAAGTAGTCGAATCTGTTGCACAATGAATTATTGGTTTATGTGTATTTTAATTGCAAATCACTGCTATAATTAGCAGGGACACTTCTTGGGCTGAGGCGCCGCAGTGTGCTTTGACAGTGAGCATTATTAACAGGCTGTAAAAGGCAAGGGGGAATTGGATTATCATGTTCTTGTTTTGCAAGCTGTATGGTGAATAAATAAATTTGTTCTGGCAGCAAAATTAACTGGGATAAATGCATCTAGCTCCATCCACCAAGAAGAGGGGGTGCTGTAAATTAAGTTGTTCTCAGCTTTGAGTTAAAAAAACCTGATTACCAGGTCATTATTTCTGGCAATTAGGTACCAGAACAACATCAGAAGAAGATTTTCTTTGAAATATTTAATGAGTAAGGTAGTAATCACAGACTCATTTGCTGCAAAAATGTGATGAGATTGTTTTCCTTTTTTGTGGTTAGGGTTCACTATGCAATGAAAACCAGAGTTTATCAACTCTGCTAAAGCCTGGATTGCAAGACTGAACTGTGGCACACACCTGACTTCTCTTTGCCTAGGAACCCTGGGTCTTCATGGGGTCATCCCATGCCCAGTGACTAATCAGAGGTCACTTCGTCGCTCCTTTTTCTGTTTCAAGCAGCTGTAGGTTGTTTTGTAACAACCACAAACACAGACGACTTGGACAGGAGGGAGAAAGTGTTGCCCTGCGTGTGTTGCATGACTAACTTGTGCATCCCTGTGTGTGTTCTCTAACAAACCCCCAGTTTGATGATAATCCTTATTCAGTATTGATGCTGATAGGCCTGAGTTTCTCTGACCTGCACACTAAGCAAGTCCAAGAGAGATCATGGCTGAGAGCACAAGCCTTGTAGATGTTTGTGCTGGTTTTGTCCGAGGGCAGAGTGAATTTTCCTCACAGCAGCTACTGGAGGGACTATGTTTTGGATTTGTGCTTAGCTGCCAGCTGGGGTTAAAACACAACAATGTTACACAGAGGGGGAAAAACATTCTATTTTTTAATTCAATGAACTTCAAAAAAACATTCATTAACTTATTCCATTTTGGCAGTTGATTATGTTTTATTTCTTGTTGGTTGTTGTTTATTTTTACAATCACTATGCTCAAATATAAAATTTCCTGGCTAAAGTTAGTTTTAAAAGTTTAAAAGTAATCCCACCTGCATTGACACATGATAAACATCACTAAATTCAGTTTCTGAAAACATACTGGTAAGACTCCCAACAAGTTGCTTTGTCTGACATACAGAAAAATACTCCTTTCCAACTTGTGCAAACATACCTCAGCTTGACAAAAAGGAGTTACACCTGAGTGTTTCCACACTTAGTTTTCATTAATTTTAACTTTTTTCTTATGGACCCTTAACAATTGGTTCATGCTAAGCTGCACCATTGTGATCCTTTTCAGCTGTCCTGGGCATCCTCATGAATCACAGGAACACAGAAATAATAAATACAGAGATGCCATGAGGATTAATAAATTGGTGACAGAACAGGAAAGCTCTAGGCACCTTTATTTCCAGAGCTCTGGCACAGATGCAGTGCGTTGCAGATCAGCTATTCTTAAGGCACGTGGTGAAAAGAACAGTTTATCATCTCGGGGTCTTCATCTCTCCGAGTCAAACATTTTATGCCAGTAGTAGACAAAGGTTGGCGAGTTGCTGGCCCCTATCACTACGAGCAGCAGCAGATACAGCATCATCATTATGGCAAATCGGTGGGTGTAAAACCAGGAAGATTGACTAGAAGGTCAGAAAAGGGAAAAGGGCATGAATTGTCTCAGAGATGCACAAATACCTTGGCAATCAGTATCTTAGATTTCATTATTTTAAACAAGCAAATGCAATAAAAATAAATTTGTTCCACAGTTCCTATAACTAACAAATCCTGATTCCACATCCCTTTTCCCTCAGTCTGTGCACAGTCCTGTCTTTTCTCCTCCTGTTCACACCTTTCTCTGTGGTTTGGAGCTGGAGCTGCCTGGCCTGCACACACGTGTTGATTAGCTGGGCGAATGCTGCCACTCAGGATAGATAAAGGCAGAGTCAGGACTGCCCTAGTCTTAAGAGCTGCACTCACCAGACTTTCACTCTTGGTTTCCTACCACAAACAGATTATAAGAACTCTCAAGGATATAAAGTGCTTGCATGTCTGGTGAAAAAGCAAGTTTAGCTGAGCCTAGGAGTGTCAAAGAGTGAGACAGAAGCAACGTGATGGAGTAAGCCTATTTCTGTAGGAAACAGGAATAAAAACAAATTCTGGTAGTGCAGCATATATTTCTGTGTTTTTTCAACAATGGAAAGTGTTTATCTGGCTGTTATAGCACACTCATCACTCCAGACAGCTGAACTCTTACCTCCTATGCTGTTTCTGTGAATACACTAGCAAGTACTTCACTCGTAAAAGCTGGTTGTTTGTGACGACAAAGTATTTCTGTGGTACATCTCCCCCTTCACTGTTTTTCACTCTTGCTCTTTTTCTGTCTATTTCTGCTGAATCTGAATTGGGAAAAGAAAAGAAGAGGATTCAGGTGGAACAGAAGAGCAAAAAAAACCCAGACAAAACTTCAAAGAACTGTAAAAAAAAGCAAAGAACAACACCCCCATACACACCCCTGAGAAGAATGGGAATGAGATAACCAAAGACCTAGTCTTGGTATTCCCCTGAATCCCTCAGCATCCAAGAATAGACTGAGAAGTTTGCTTGAGGCTATGCCACTCCTAGTCATCCTTGGTATGGATGACATTATGGCCCAGCTCAGGGTGACAAGGAGTTGGGTCTCCCACTCAGTGCTCGAGGAGCTGCTAATATTAACAGGGAAAGAAAAACAACATGAAGGACAGACGGAACTACAACACAGAGTTATTATTGCAATGCTCACCTTTCTTTTTCACCTGACACTTTACATCAGGGTGGTCAATGATCTCACAAACAGCCACACAGCTGAGGATAGAGCCCAGAGCGCTTCGCTGCCAGCCGAGACCGTGAGGGCTGTAAAGCAGAGCCAGGCTCAGGTCACTGGTCAGGTAGGTGCCTTCACCAAACAGGGATGTCTGAAACAGAGCAGAAATCTATCCTAAGATCCTGTGGTGCAAACCTCAAACGAGCGTTCTTTGCTTTCAGACTGGCAGTTCTGCTTCTGAAGGTAGATTACGAAAGGCTTTTCTGACCCATGTTGGGCCTGGTCCATGCACTGTTTTTGTCCTGGCACAACTTCCTCAGGGTGGGGCTGCTGCCCTCTCCCATCCCTCAAATTAGCTGCCTGGCACAGCCCGTGGTGTGGACAGATTCATGCTTTCCCGGATTTGGGTTTAGTTTGCCAGCATAAGTACTTTACATCAACACGACTGCCCTGCTGTTAGGAGGCATTTCATCAACTTATTCATTCATATGATCCAACCTCCCCAAACAAGGCAAGGCTTTACTTCATCTAAATCCATGCTTCATTATAAAACAGGGAAGTACTTTTCAACTGTAAATCCCTTTCAAATAGAAGTGTTTTAATAACTTGGAATCAGAGGATTTGCCACACTGGCTAAAACTATAAATCCATTAAGTCCATTGCTCTTAGTGAGCCACTACTCATAGAGAATGTGGGGAAAAAACATCGTCCAGGTTGACTGGAAGGTCAAGCAGGTGCTGTGCCAAAGCTGCCTTACAGCTGATACAAAAATCCAGGAGGCTCAACTGCCTTTCCACTGAAATTGGAAGAGGTGAAAATCCTATGGGATGTCTCCCTAAACCTGCCCATTTAAAGAAGGCTCCACTTGTGATTAGCACCTAAACCTTTGCTGATCTAAACATGAGGGAGGCAGAAAGAGAATCTCTGCACTGCTTGGGCCACTATTCTCCTCTGCTCCCATGGACAGGCTGTTCCCTGCTGCAGGCTGTCAGGCCAGTATTTGAGAGGAATTACACTTCCTTACAAAGAAGCAAAGCACAGTCACCATTTGCCATGCTGTAGCAAAGAGTTTTGTGCCACTTCCAGTCTTTACCCTCAGGCTGCAGCAGAAAATCCAACACCACCCTCCACAAAGAGCTACACTGGAGTGAAAACAGCAGTACAAGATCATCAGCACATTTTATACCCCTGGAGGAATCTGGGCCTATTTTTAAGAAGAGTCTCTAGCTACAAGTGACCAAGAGAAGATGGTGCCAAGACCAGGAGCCTCACCCTGTTCAAATGGCAGTGCAGGCCGTTGTGCAGTATGGAATGGAAGTTCTCCAGGCGGCTCCCGTGGAAGGCATAGATGAGGTCCCGCTCTCCCTTGGTCTCAGCAAACTTGGCGTTCATCTGATCACAATACACGATCTCAAAGAGGTAGTCTGGAGCAGGAACTGCAGCCCCAGACATCCCTGTGAGTTCCTGGATCTTCTCGTACTGAAAAACAGGAAGGAATATAAGTGTTGGTTTGTGGTGTTAGATTACTCACTGGAAACTCTGCTTATTGTGCCTTCACATTGCTTAACGTATTCTGATGCTTTTCTGAGTTAGAATTCAACACGGTCACAATTCAGGAGGAGTGAGAGGACAGCACAAATTTTGACAGTCTCTTGCTGTAAAAATTAAATCCTAATTCTTCTTTCCAGAAAAAAACCCCACCCTGAATTGTGATTATGAATTAATTAATGATGTAAGGAAAATATCACAATTATGCTTTGGCTCCTGAGAAAATATACTAATCCGCTGATCTTGGAAGAGGAAAAAATTGAAAACAGAACTTGTTTTCATCTTGCTACTAATCTCTACAACTATTTTGATCTCTGATAAGTACCTCAGTGGCTCTCAACCTTTCCATTTTTGGGGCACTATGCAGAAGATAAAGTCTTTCTCTGTGCCAACAGGACATGAGTTGGACTCTTTTGTCTACAACATGCTATATCAACTGGAATCATTGCCCATCATCAAGTACTGACAGTGATAACTATTTCTTCCAACCAGTGTTCCTGAATATTTTATTTTAAAAAAAAACCCAAACAACCCTCTCTGTATACAGGGGAAAAAAATGGACTCACACTGAACTGTTAAGCTCTCACAATAACCAACTTAATTCTGGCAGGAGGAAATACTCTCTGAAGTGTAAATTTGTCCTAAATGACAAATTCTATTCAAGACTTTCAGAACTCAGAACTTACCTCCTGTTTCTTAGTACTTTGTATCACGAAGACCTTTGATGACAGAATCCAACTAAACAGGTCCCAGGTCCTTTTATCTGTGTTTGGAACAGATTCCAGGAGTTCTTTCAGGCTTGGTAGAGCGTTGGTATCTGCAAGCTAACAACAGAGGCATTTAGCACAAGCTCCATTGTGATTAAACAGGGACCTCTAGTGAAAACAAAACTATATTTCACCCCAACAAACTAAAAAACAGGTTCTGTCCTGATATATAAACATTTGTATCCAGTTTGTGGGGAAGTTTGTCAGTTTCTCTGAAAGCAAATACCAGACAAGCTATAAATATTTATATTTACCAATAATATATGTAAGGTATTTACAGGAACACACCCCTAAAGAAAACAAGCTGTCACAGGGCAGTATGTGAGCAGGAATATATGGGGGTGTTCAGGCCATGTAATATACAGACTGTTCAGTGATAACTTGAATTTCACATAGGGCTACCTCTTCTAACACTTCATGGAATCATAAGGTAAGAAAAGCCCTTTAAGATCGAGTCCAACCCTTAGCACAGCCCATCACTAACCATATCCCCAAGTGCCACACCTACATCCTATCTGAACATTTCCTGGGATGGTGATTCCACCACTTCCCTAGACAACCTGTTCCAGTGCTGGACCACCCTTCCAGTGAAGAAATTTTCCATAATATCCAATCCAAACCTCCTCTGAAGCAGCCTGAAGCTGTTTTCTCTTGTCCTGTCCCTTATTACCTGTTGTCTACCCCTTCCTTCTCATCCCCACACTGAGTGATCACATCCCATCTGGCTGTTTCCAACCTGGAGCAGTTTGAGGCTATTTCCTCTTGTTCTGTCCCTCATTACCGGCTGTCTATCCCTTCCTTCCCATCCCCACACAGTGATCACATCCCATCTGAGTGTTTCCAACCAGGAACAGCTTGAGGCTGTTTGTTTTCTCTTGTCCTGCCCCTTATCACCTGTTGTCTGTCCCTTTTTACTTCCCATCCCCACACTGACTGTTCATGTCCCTGTCTGGGTGTTTCCAACCTGGAGCAGTTTGAGGCCATTTCCTCTTGTCCTGTCCCTTATTACCTGTTATCCATCCCTTCCTTCTCATCCCCATACTGAGTGATCACATCCCATCTGGGTGTTTCCAACCTGGAGCAGTTTGAGGCTGTTCATTTCTTGTCCTACCCCTTATCACCTGTTGTCTATCCCTTCCTTCCCATCCCCACACTGAGTGTTCACGTTCATCTGAGCATTTCCTAGTCTGGGACTACTGCTCAGCATCCCAAAGACACTCTTCAACCTGGAGCAGTTTGAGGCCATTTCCTCTTGTCCTGTCCCTTATTACCTGTTATCCATCCCTTCCTTCTCATCCCCATACTGAGTGATCACATCCCATCTGGGTGTTTCCAACCTGGAGCAGTTTGAGGCTGTTCATTTCTTGTCCTACCCCTTATCACCTGTTGTCTATCCCTTCCTTCCCATCCCCACACTGAGTGTTCACGTTCATCTGAGCATTTCCTAGTCTGGGACTACTGCTCAGCATCCCAAAGACACTCTTCAACCTGGATTCCTCGGCTGGATAAACGCTTCATCCTGCCTTATCCACGACCCTAAGGCGCCGCTGTCCTCACCCCCAGCGGCAGCTGCTGCCCCGCGGGGCTCACTCACC